TTTAAATAATAATTATATTAGTGAGATGGAAAATGAAGACAAGGTTTAATTCAACCTTAAACAGCTGCAGTCATTTAAAAATAATATTCACAGTCTTATTTGCTTTTGATTTTTACAAGGGTTTTTCATATTTCCACGCCACTCCATGAAATTTGAGTGCTCTGTTTATATAGCTAATTTTAGTTCTTTTCCTATGCCACTCATATAGCAACCTGATCCATGTAGACCTCCATGGAGTCCCTTTGAAGTCAAAGGAACTATACAAGAGCACTGATGACCAACTCTGCAAATGAAATTGCAGAATCAGGGCTATAAGGCTTTGGTTTTCATCACTGCCAGGAGAATTGTTTCCATTTTTTAAAATTAAACTTTAAAATACCTTTCAAGTTCATTTATAAAAATGAAATAAATACTATATTAAATTTTGTAACTTTTTTTTTTTTAACTAGAGCATGCACTTTCCACCTAAATTTCTTGGTATTGCTTTTATAAACTGCCAACATCAAAGCAAGTCTCTTAAACCAGATAACCGAATTACTACTTATTTTACTATCAGTCATATCAGAATGCATAATTGAATTGCTGTCTTTTTAAAACTTTCACTCTATTATAAATAGTTGGTATGGGGGAAGGGAATGATTATTGGCACACAAAGAGAAAGTTTCAATCAGATACAGGACAGGTTGGAATAATATAGGCTTTCCAACTTTTCTTAGATAATGTACCTAACAACAGTGCTTGCACAAGAAAACAATCTGGTTTCAATCTCTCTCTCACTGTCACACACTCATGAACAAAAATATCATTTTTGTTAAAGGGAGATTTTTTTGTACTGTTAGCATCCCAGGAAATTATTCTGAAACCATATGATTTCTCCCATCTCATTGTAGAAAGGGTACAGCCCAAGGGACAGATATTGACCAGGCCAACTTGGGTATACAAGGAAAAAAACATTGTGCAAGTCACTTTTAGTAACCCTGAATAATCCCAGTTCTTAATGCTCTCAAGTGCAATTTCTCAGCGTCCCTGATTTCCCACTGCCTTGAGCCTTATGCAGTTATTTATACCAGGCCAAAATTGATTGAAAATACTACTATATCAGAATGGTTGCAGGTTAGACATAATTAAATGTTTGTATAAGATGCAAAGCAATTGAATATAACTAACTGCCTCTGAGTTCCAGCTGTTGCAAATTTGGACAGTGGCTTAATAACCATGAGCTGGCCTTTAGTTTGCTCTACATTCATCCCTATTTGATAAGAAGTGGAAACTGAAGACAGACAAAATACTTTCTATTATAGCCACCTTTCCCAACCAGGAAGTACATACGTTTTGTTATGCAGTGGAATTGTCTCTTAGGGGCTATGTAGAACAAGTGAGGCTGAAGGCTCAAAGACTTTACAAGGCAATAACAAAAATGTAACTGTCTGAACACAGGACTTTATCCATTGCTATATATATTACATCCATTGAACAGAGAAAAATTCAATTCCTCGCTAGGGAATGATAAAGAGGCTTGAGAAAAATAAGCTGCAGAAGAATCCACATTATTTGCTTATTTTTGCCCTTATTTTTCATTTGCCTTTGCCTTTGCCTTTGCCTTTGCAATGCTTGGTACAGGTTGGGAGTAGACATAGGAAAAATCCACAAATACCACAAGAAATCTGTGACTTCTAAGGATGCTAGTCCAATCTGACATACTTAAAAAGTTCAGAATTTACATTTGCTAAAGCAGCATCTGGATTTTGAGGATGTATCCAAGCCATTTTGAGGGCTTGCTCATCACTGGTTTGGAACATTTTTAGCTTTATGAAGTAGTTGCATCCCTGTGCATATGGTAGAAAGTCTGACTTGTTGGGGGTATGTAAATATTTTAATTAAAGGGCATGGCTAGGGCAAGTATAGGGTGCTTTGCCCTATTTTTATAGCAATTCTCCAGGGAGTACAGTAGTACAAACAACAAGCAGCAAGTGTTTCTGATTTTCAAACAAAATGGTAGTCTTTTGATAAGTGCCTGTTTTCTGTTCTATGAAACCCGGAGATAGAAGATTTGTCAAAAACCTGGTGAGAACCTGTCAGTTTCACATACAAGTAACCTACTGACATCAGGTTTCTTTGACCATGATTTATGTCCACAAGAGTAAATATTGACCACTACGAATGCCAGCATTTAATTTGCTTGTGTTGAAATGATGTTGTAGCTGTGATAGTCCAGGCCATATATGAGATGCAAGGATTCTTGTAGGTTGTATCGTTTATTACATTTGGTCCAATAAAAGATATCACCCCAAGAATCCTTCTAGCATTTAATTTGGTGTTCAGTCATTCTTTTTGATCACATATGTAAGGGTCATTGCCTCCCTAAATCAGACTTTCCCTTGAACAATGCAGGGTAATCTGACTAATGAGTTTGCTACACGTTCTGAGCCAGTGAGTTCCACTGCAGTTGCACCAGGTATTTTGAAAGGTGACTTTAGGTCTGAGGAGATAAGCCAGGTGTGAAAAGATAATTAGTAAGTGCAGGCTTAAGCTTGTCCCTGCCTGGCTGATCCCTCACCGCACTGCCTGGCCCTTCTTCCAGGAGGTGAGGACTGTAATATATAAATTGTTTTTTTAAATTAGGTGCCACTTAATTTGCAAAAGTTATGACAGGGTGTCTCAAGTCCAATGAGTTAATGATGTTTCTGGGAAAATCTGAGAACAGGAGATGCCAAAGAGCCTTTTGCAACTTCCCAAACCTGTGGTGGGTTCTACAATAACCCTGCCCCAAAGTGAAGACTGCTTTAAACTTTGCTAAGATGTAAAGGTACAGCTAGGCAGCTTTTAAGTACCATGCCCAACAAAGGGAGCCAGGTATTTTACTCATTCTGCTAGTGACCAATTATTTGCTGATGATGTGTGTTCCATCTTCTGCTTTGATTAGTTTACAAGTTTGCAGTCTGTAGATCCAGTATTGTGCTTACTATGAAAAACATAGTTTGTGGACAAATCTTGTTGGAGATAAACCAACCAATTACAGTAACAAGCACTGAATAAAGTAAAATATTTGTAAGACCAGGTCCTGTGGTAGACCCAGTACAGCCTAAACATAATTTAATCTCTGCTGGTATATGGTGAAGCTTAAACCTTCAGGAAGTCTATGATTTTTCTTACTTTCTGATGTTATATATGCAAGGTTTGGCAGGTTACCACTAAAGAGCTATACAGAAAAAGAGTTTGAAATAATTGTGCTGTTAAATACAGTTGTAATGTCACAGTATGTATACAACCAAAATGGTAATGGTAAAACAGTATCATAAACTGTACTAGATTAGTATCAGACTTTACTTTGCTTTACTTTCCTAGTCACTGGCTGTGGCACTGCAAGAATAACACTACATGATGCTGATATTATTAACTACATAATGCACATTATTGATTTATTCTTTGTTCTGCCTCATTATCCTTTTACTAGTGAGTTCCCTGAGTTATTCTCATGTACTTAGTCAAGCACCAAATCACGAAGCAAGGACAGGCTCCCATAATAGCCCTTAATGGCACATTACATAAGCAATTACTTCTGCCACCTATTATTTGTTGCTTCCAGCCAATGAGGCTTCTGCATTATTGGAATGTGCTCAGAACAATTACGAAGTAAGAAAGACTTGGACTGTCTACATTTTACCCTTGAAATTACTCACCTTCATATTTGCCACCTGCTGACACCTCAGATGCCAGCCAGTAGCTTTAGAAAATTTGGACTTTGTTGCAATCTGTGTGTAGACTAAATGCCTGTAATGAAGTCAGATTACTGTATGACTCTGCCACCCTAACAATTAGGAATATGAGCACAGTGCAGTATCTTGTAGAGATATCTGAGCTAGCTCTAAACAAGCTAGCTTGGGTACCAGAAACAGTTTAGCTATGTTTGTGGTGTACTTTCCAGACTAATTAGTCTTACTGAGAATGGACTAGCTCAGGTATCTTGGCATGACACTGCATTGTGCTATGTAATTATGCCCTACATTGCACACACATATCCACTACTCTGCCTTTCTGGGCAGTTGCAAAGGATATAGCTTGTGAAAACACCTTCAGTAGCAGTGCCTCCCATGTACTGATAAGCATAACAAAAGCCATTCTTTAGTCTGTACTGTGGTGGAAACTGAATTTTTTGAATAGTCTAATACAGGTTCTTGGACAACATTTTGCAATGAGTGACTAACAAATAAGTTTCTAAGAAATGTATGCATTGAGACCTTTCACTAAGTCTTTCAGAAATCAGCAAATAGTAATAGATTCTGTTTCTATTTTGGGTATAGTTGGGTTTTTTTCCTTTGGTATTAATAGAAAAAAAATCTGAAGTGCAAGGAACCTTTGTGTTATCACTATTTATGCAAGCTCTGATTCTATGGTTGGTCCATTGCAAGGTAGCATTATTTAATATCCACTTATAGTAAAGTGTTCCCACTAGGAGTTATGGTAGAATATGTAAATTTTTCTTTGTCTGCTTATGGTCTATATCTTGTCAAGCTTTTCTCTGCGTTTACTGATATATCAGTCTGCTTCCAACCAGGGGAAAAAAACATAGAACCATTTCAGGGAGATTTGTTGTCTCATTACATGATAAGTTGTATGTCAGAAACAAAAATTTAAATAGTAAATCTCAGCAGAGGATGTTGAACAGTGGAGGAAGGATATATAAAAGAGAGAAATATGATTCTGAAAGGGACTGGATAATACAGCATATAAGTGTAGACATAAATAGTGCCTCTTATTGTTAAGTGCATAAAACTACTTAGTCAGACCGTCTTTTGTGGTATCAGGTGAGTGCCTACATGTATTTTTCAACCTCAGAGTATCTTCTAGCATTGTTGTTTTCCTTTGCAACCTTAGGGGATAAGTGTTAAAAAAAACCCAAAACACTAATGCTTTCTTCTTCAGACAACTACTTACCTTGCTTATTTGCTTGTTTTATGTTTGCTTAAAGTGCAAAATTAACTGGAATTTTTCTGTAACAGGCACATTGTTGTCTGTGGTCACATAACACTTGAAAGTGTGTCGAACTTCTTAAAGGACTTCCTGCACAAGGATAGGGATGATGTGAACGTGGAAATCGTCTTTCTGCATAAGTGAGTAGCCCTGCAAGCCAGAAACCTTAAACCCTTCTCACTGATTGAAAGATTTCTAAACGTTACTAAACATTCCTTGCAGTAAGCAAGACAGGGGTTAGATCAGACTTATTCCTCCTATAACTCCAGTGGTTTCCACTGACTTCAGTGAGTTTATTGCAGAAATGAATTTGACCCTAGCAATTAAATTCTGGCCTTTACCATGTGAATTTCTCTGTTGACTTTAGGGGCCAGGATATTGCCCATGATGTCTGTTCCTGGCTCTTCCATTTACCTTTTTCTGGTCCTAGGTTTGGAATTTCAAAGGACAGTTAAGGACTGCTAAGCCATATTAGGGCCATCCCAGCAGTGGTACCTTCAAACACATCACATAGGTCTGTGCATGCTGCCACCTGGATTGGAAGCAGGTTAACTGACCTTTCAGCACCAAGGACAGGCTCATTAGTCATGCTAATTACTACTCATCTTAGGAACTGTCGGCTCTTATACACATGCAGTGAGACTGTTCCAATGCACTGTAATGACGGAGCATGGTAATTAACGTGCTCCAGCAAACACCAGCGTCATGTGTATCAGCCTCCTCATGCTGAAAAATGGTGGTAGGGATGCTTTAACTAAAGCTTGTTAGATGCGCTTTAGTTAAAGTACCACCCCCCACCATTTTTCAATGTAGAGACACTCCAGGCACTTTAATTAGAGCAGCTCTTGGACCTGCTCTCATTAAAGAGTCTCCCTACCACTACTCCTGGGGCACATATATAAACACCCAATGTGTTCAAAATCACTGACTCCACATAGCAAAGTAACACATGGAACCATACAGCATGTTTGACGGCACTGCTGCTGGGTATGATACGTTGGTAACCTAGAAATGCACTTAGAAGCCTAATTCCCATTGAATTCCAGTGGGATTTGAATCCCTAAGTATCAAAGGCTCTTTTGAAAATCTCTTGTGGCCTTGTTTTTTTCCCAGTCTGTGATATATTATAATATTAATTGAATGTACTTCACCAAGTGTTGAGATTATTGAGTGAACTGTGATCACTCCCAGCTTGACAAGATGCAACAAATTTGCAAATATATTAAGGTTATAAGGACTTATTTCATTTTTAGATGAAGCTCATTAAAGTCTCTAACATCAAATTTGCTAGTGCTTCCCAACATGTCAGTCAGTTGAGCATGGCAGCAGAGTGATTATGGCGTTTCACTGTAGCTCTAGAGATGTGAGATCAGGAATCCTTCCTTAATAGTGCTAAAAGCCATCCCAATCCAATGAGCAATAAACAGATACCTGGGGAGATGAACGTGGCAATTCCAGCTACGTTACTCAGCTGATGGCCATTGGTTACAGAAACTAGCATGTCTTAATGGACAATGGCTTGACCTGGACCATTGGACTTTTTGATGGTGGTGGTTATGCTTCAATGGTTGCATACAGTT